CAATGGGGCGGGGGGGAAGCAGTGGGCCCAGCTTGGCAGCAGTGGGGGTAGGGGAGGAGCGGGCCTTCTCCCACCTTAGGCCCAGGCCCATGCCCACTCCTCCACCACCCCTCCTCCCGTGTCAGCCCTGAGGCTGCTCCTCCTGTCCTCCCACTACCACCACCGCGTCAGGCGGACCCACTGCTCTCCCCCCCCCCCGCACTATGGCAGGCTGGCTTCTCTCCACCCTCGGGCCTGGTCCTCCCCCACATCAGGCCCAGGCCCACTCCTCCCCTACCCCCACTACTGCGGTGGGGAGCAGGAGAGTGGGCCTGGACCCCAAGCAGCAGGAGGGAAGGGGGGAGTGGGCCCAGATGGGGGGGGGCTGTGTCCCTGCTGGCACCCCCCAGTTATTCTCAACTGGCAGTTGACTAGTGCTAAATAACGATATTCCTACTGAAAAGTCCCCATTGTTGTTTGGTGAGCTTTAGATAAAGCACCTCCACTGCCAATTTGAAGTGTGGGACACTAATACAAGAGATGCTCTGCGCACCTTAATTAGTGTGGCTCTTGGAGCTGTTCTAATTAACTGCCCCCACCCCCCAAAGCACATGTAAACATGCCCATGGTGACCACTCATTAAATCCTGGCATAAGGTATTTGCCTGGCATCATGAAGAGATTGGTTAAGACATGAATCCAGGTCTCCAAGATGGCTTTTGCCTGCTTTAAACCATGGAACTTTCCACTCTTGAAATCTGCTTCCTTTTCTATGCAATCCTGACATACTCTCTCCTCTGCACTGAATAGGGCAAGGTTATGTAAAAATAAATAGTATTGGCTTCTGTAATTCAAAGACAATATCATAATGTATGCATACATAAGCAAGATGCTGTGAATTATAGCTACGTTAACTTACATGTTTCTGACTTTCCAAACTTTGAGTGTTTGATGGTGCTACCTGAATACTGTTCCTGTAATGGTTTTTTAGATGCAACTTCCCTGATTTTTAGAAAAGCAAGTAGTGAAAATAAATTCTGTCACACAGAAGCATACTGATTGGATCTTTTATCAGCAGGGTTTGAAATAATAGCTCCCCATCACAGACCTGAGTCCACTTGAACTAACTGCATAGTCAGCAGTATTAGGCTGTCATCCTCTGTATAGACTGGCCAGCAGAGGGAGATGAGTCACATCTTTGCAGTAGGTTTTTCTCTATTTGCAGACAACAGAGGAATGCTAACACTGAAGGAATCCCAAGTTCCACCCAGGTGAGGGTATGGATACAGTCCCAGCGGTTACAAACCCTTTGACGTCTGCTTCCTGTCTACAGTTCCACACTCCAAAGCCTGCCCTCTTCCTGCTCTTTGCCCTGCTTTGCTAATTCCTGAGATTTTAGCACAAGTCCTGTGCTCTTTGCTGTTTGACTTAAATCCTCAATTCCTAATAAAAGGCATCTTGCCTTTTATTAAATAGAAGCTGGAATTCTCATACAGGTTCTTGATCATGATCACTGTAGTGAAACGTTTGAAAATATGACCCAAGAGGCAGAATCAAGTCTCATAGTTTTTTGGACATTTGGGATCAGATTCTAATCCATTTGTTAAGCATGCAGGTGGACTCAGGTTCTTATGTATTCCACCTTGTTCAAGGCCCTGGAAAAAACTCTTAGTACAAAAAGGTAGGTGGCTCTTCCTTTTCCTTGACACTTTTTGATTCAGGTCTTATGGATCAGTTGATGGTGGTACAAAAGTAGATGTAATATGGATTTTCAGGGACTTGAACGAGGTGGACTAGAAACACACTTACATGCCTAATAGGTGGAACAGAATCTGGCCCTTGGAAGTGACAATCCTTGCTGCCTACCCCTGCTAAAATAGACACATAAGCACCAATATGTATACAAATGGATTTTAAAATGTACTTTTACTCTAATTATATAGTCCAAAGTAAAATATACTTGGTTTTCTAGAGATGAGCAGGTGTCCATTTTGTTTTGCAAAATTCTTTCAACTCAATGCTGTACCAATGACACTATGTTTCACAGATAATCATCTCACCTGGAAGAGCTTCTTGCACTCAGCAATCATATGGGCCAGTCCCTGGGTAGCAGCCAGGTTTTCATTTAAATCTTTCTGATCAGGTTTGCCCAGACTGGGCTTCCGTTGCATCACCCTATGCAAGGGGGTGGGGGAGGGTGGGAATATGAAACGTTCAGAATTAGTGAATGGAGAAGATGACAACTCTTGTTACAGTTGGTAAGAAGGCAACATGATTGCAGAATGTCCTGATGTCTTTACATAAGCTCTGGATCATGCCAAGATTGCCCTATTGTGAGATGCTACTGATGTCTTTAATGAGGCTGTGCCTATACCATCTACCTTTTTGCAGAGTTGTCTGTATCTGTAACAACTCTATAACGGAAAACAAAGACTGGGGATACAATGTTTATTTTCAGCCTAATGCTGCTAAGTTTTCTAAGACATCTGAAATAAATTCCTTCCCTGCAC